CTAATTATCTCTGCTTTTCTTTGGGCCAAGGGAAAAGACTTAACAAACCAGCCCGTTTAATAGTTTTAGCCTTTGGGCTTGTGGATGAATGGCCCAGTTTCAGTCTCCCCCGATTATTCTAACTATTCAATATTTCAATTATGATCATCAAACCGTGCAAACAAAACAACGAAGTATTTTGTGCTGAAAAAATGAAAAAGCCCACTATTATGGACCATATGATGATATGATATGATAGAGTTGTATACTCAACCATAAGTACAGCATTCAATTCATAATTTCTATGGACTAAAAAAAATTGAAAAAGACCATTGAGTTTTATATTTTTATCATTTCTAAGGGATCTATATGTGCATAAATGAATTCATTAGGGAGAGCAATAATTCTTTTAGGATACAATTTAAAATATAATACTTTTAACATATTGATAAAAATAAAATATGTAATATAGAAGTTTTAAAAATTTTGAAAGATGTTTCTAATAAATAAAATACCTTCCAAAAATCTTACAGTTTTCTCTCTCTTTCTCTTTCTTTCTTTCTTTCTTCTTCTTCTTCTTCTTTTTTTTTTTTTTTTTGGGTGTTCAGTGAATTTATAGAGCAATGGGTCAATATTTGTGCGAATGCAAAGAACAAGGTGAAATCAGATTACAAAGATCTAAGTTTGCCAGAGCAATGCAAGCATTGTGAGAAGGTAACTTACAACTCAACAAACATTATTTTTTTTTTTTTATGGTAATATAACATTGATTCCTACTTTATTATTGTTTTCTAGAAATTGTGTTTTCGTTTATGATGATTAAAATATATTTATACACAATACACTTACTTAATATCAATAATATATGAAATTAGAAGCATATAAAAACTTCGACATGTCACTTAGAAAGTTACACCTTGAATATATCATATTTTGGCATAACCATGGCCTTCTAAATTTGCAATTAACATTTCTTTCATGGCATGTGTAGGAGGCTGTGAATGTATCTCTGGGAAACTTGTTGACTTACCCATTTGTAAGAGAAGCTGTGGTGAATAAAACCCTCGCTATTAAAGGTGCATATTATGATTTTGTGGTGGGTACCTTCGACCAATGGGATCTCGATTCCAAAGTTTCACCATCTTTGATAGTATAAGATAAGCATCTTGCATTCCTACCATGTCTTTGGTTTTCTCTTGTAATGCATGTTGTACATGTTCTTATGAGTAACTCAGCTGGCAAAATAAGCAGTAGTTTGCCTGAAATACGATGTATTTCTGTTTTTCTTTTTTTATAAATAAAGTTAATATATGGAGAAAGAGAGAGGAGGAGGGTCCTATTGTGTTAGTTTTCTTGTGTTTTGATTGAAATTATGACTTAAAAAATCTAGTTTTCTTGAATGTAGTATGTGATATTGGTGCACTAAGAATTTTAGAGAGGATTAGTAAATTCTTCAACTCATTTGCACCAAGCCTAAATTTATTTCTCTTTTAACTTGTTTTTTCACTACCCTGCTGCCCATTGCACCTAACTAGATTGCCATTTTTCTTCACGAAGTGACAGTCTTCTATTACTAGTGATGGTGCTAGATAATGGAGACATAACACATAATCACACGCATAGTGCTGGATTAATAGCAAATAAAGAGTTTATTTTTGAATTTATTCTAATTTCTAAAACAGATAAATTATACAAAAAAAATGGTACTAATTAATTTTGCCAAATTTCATCAAAAGGATACCCATCATAGAATTCCAAGAATTCCCGACCATCCATGTCGAAACCATCACTATTACCAAACTCAACACTTCCAAATTGCAATTCCTCATTCCGCATCTCAACGGCATTCGGAGGATTACCAGCCACCGTGACCTCGCTACTCTGAAGACGTTCAAAATCAAAGTTCTCCGGCGATAGGATTCTCTGGGTCTCCTCTGCTAATCCAGACGAATGCATTTTAGATGATCTCGATCTCGTAGCTTCTACCTTTGTCTTCTCGATCCCGAGTTTCTTCCGCAAACGGGTGTTCCAGAAATTCTTCACCTGATTGTCTGTTCTTCCGGGCATCCGTCCAGCAATCAGCGACCACCTGCAACGGTAATTAGATTCTTAATTTCTCCCATTTGTACGATAATTAAAAAAAAAAAAGAAAGAAAGAAGAAGAATTAAGACGAACCTGTTGCCGAGGAGCTTGTGGAGTCTCACAACGAGGTCCTCTTCTTCCTCCGAAAAGTCGCCGTGTTTCACATTGGGGCTCAGGTAGTTCAACCACCGCATCCGGCAACTTTTCCCACACCTCTTCAAACCTGTGAGTTTGGGAATGCGGTTCCAGTGGCCTCTTCCGTGCACCCTCACATATTCAGAGAGAATCCTGTCTTCCTCCTCTGTCCATAGACCCTTCCTATTTTGCTTCTCCTCCCTCATACCTTTGTGCCTGGAGGAATGCGATGATAACTTGTTACGTATCTCTTGGATTCAGGTTCTTCGATTGTCGGGAATTTTTTCTGGCAACCTTCCTCCTGAAACAACCGACCTAGAAAACGAGACTTGTTTAAAATGTGTTGCCAATTTAGACACAGTGTTTATGTAAATACACAACCAATAAAAGGAGGAGCACACTAGGTAACAGTGACGAAAGCCGGACGTGATGGAAACTGGTAAGGGAAAAACTAGGAGCTTGTACCTGATTCAATAATTTTTGTCGTATGATCTGTTACAATTCAACTGTAAAAATGTTTTTATTTTTTTTCAAAAGCATAAATAGTGCAATCTTTGGTTTTATTCACTTAAATTGGTTGGTTGGCTCTATCAGGCCTGGAGTTTTGGATTGGACACATCAGTCATCATCTCACTAACATAATTTTCCCCTCGGCGAGTGTAGGCCAAGGCAGAACACTGTTCGGTGCCTCTGCGACCATGAGGGCGTGTTTGGTTAATAGTTAATTTTATTTAAAAAATTTGTTAAAAAAATAAAAAAATATTATATAAAAATTAATAAATTTTATAATAAAATATTAAAATTTTATTAAATTATTATATTTATTATATTTAATTAAAAAATAAATATAAAAAATTAATAAATAAAATTATTAAGTAAACTTAATATATAGTTTATTGTAAAGAAAAATTTTTTAAATAAGTAAAAAAAATTTATAAGTTGAAAATTTTATAAAAAATAAAAATATTATTTTTATTTTTATTATAATATTAATATATAAATAATTATATTAAAAAATTTAAAAGAGAAAGATTCCCAACCAAACGCACCTTGAATGTTCAATTTCACTGTACTATCATTTATTACTAAAAGCAAAGTTTTTTCTTTTCTTCTGAATTGTCAGAAGTTTTCTTCTGGGAATGGACCCAAGAATAGTGACACATCCACGGTGGTATTTGTTTGGATTGGCAGTGCAATCATAACTCCCTTCTTACGTGGATGCATCCATGTCCATGCAAAATGAAAAATTCCCAACCGAGTGGAATGAAATGAAGTAAATTTTTTTCCAAAGTTCTAAGTAGTGTTATAGATTTTAATTAAAAAAAAAAACTTCAAATCGTTTGTGCCCAGACGGTTACAAGTTTATTGTGTTTTTTTTTTTTTTAAATTAAATTTGTGCAGTAACAAATCCGTGCTTTCTTGGATTTGTGCATTTCTTTTTTAAAGAATAAAATCAAATTCAAATGCTGCAACCAGCTCGCAAATCACTCACTAGTTCCAAATTTTGTTTTACTTACCAGTTTCAATTTTTTTTTTTTTTTTGGAACTGATGAATGCGATTTTAAATTCTAAGCGGCTGTGTGAAGGCCTATACGTAGGTAGCTCACATTTCTACGAAAAAGGCTGATACAATTTTTATATTTTGCACTCTTGTTGTACAAACAAAGTATTTAAACTCTCTTAAATGTAGTGGAGTAGCACCCTCTTTATAAAAGTGCAGTACTTGTAAAGATATAATGAAAAAAGGTTGAATTGTTATATTTTGAGGGCGACGTGATCATAAGAAACTGTTACATCAGTAACATGAAACATTTTAAAGAGAGTGATTGATCCACACCTCAATTTAAGCTTTTCATACTTTCGATAACATCATTCTACCTTTCATCTTTAATTCATTGTTTTACTAATTTTTTGTTTATTTTTTCTTGGTTAAACCCCCATGTTGGTCCCTCAACTATCGTACGGACCCCCGACTTAGTCCCTCAACTCAAAAAATCCCTGATTTGGTCCCTACTGTTTACCATTTTGACCTCGATTTAGTCCCTCCGTTAAAAATTCAGTGACATGTCT